TTTCTCCAGGGACCCCCTAACCTACCTGCTTACACTTCTGTGTAGGAGTTGCTCTTGTAAGTGGTGGTACTGGAGCGAAGGTACCTACAGAGCTCCAGGGGATGTCCCAGGTCTAGGGCCCCTCTACTCTCCAGGGTCCAGTCTGCCCTCTGAACCCCTGGAGCCCATACCTCCATCTGTTACCCAATGTAAGTTCCTGTGCCCGACGCACAGTGAGGCCAAACAAACCCAAACGTCAGCGATTGGATCAGAGAAAGGTTTATTGCAGGGCCAAGGCCAAGCAAGGAGAATGGGTGGCTTGTGCTCAAGATACCCCGAACTCCCTGAAGGGTTTCAGCAAAGCATTTTTAAAAGCCAGGTGAGGGAAGGGTCAGGGTATGTGATTGTGCACAGTTCTCTGATTGGTTGATGGTTAGGGAACAGGACAGTTAACATTATCAATCCATAGGCACCTGTAGGTCTCGGGGCTCACAGTCATCCAGTAGTTAATTTATTCCATTTGGTGGTGGTTTTAGCATCTGTAAAACAACTCAGGAAGTGTACATCAGATACTGTTATCAAGGTACTTCAGAGAGGAGCTACAGCAGAGGACATGTGGGGAGGGGTCTGTTCCAGGAAGACCCCATAGGGTCCTGCTTGGTTACACATGTCTGACACGGAACTGAACCTTTCCTCTCACCTCCCATTACCAGCACCACAGCTGAGTGGCCAGGAGTGACCTGTTCTGAGCCATCTGAGCATCCTTCCAAGTCAGCCCTAGCAGCAGTGGGCCAGTGACTGAGGTCCTAGGACACATGGTAGCTCTTGTGCAGCAAATGTCTTAAGCCTGTTCCTACATCAATTTGCAGGTTCTTCCCAGTCCTCCAGGGCTCCTGGACCTGCAGGAGGGCCTGACCTGCACAGAGCACCCATGTGGTTGTTACACTACCCTTCAGCCCTCCTGGATCACAACCTCTCTTAGCCTGTAAGCTGAGCATTCATGCTTCAGATGTGAGTCTTCAAACCCATTGATTTCAGAAACATATTATATATGAACACTGCCAGGGCCTAGGCTCTCTAGACCCAAACTTTGTCTTCTGAAGAGGAGAATTAGGACGAGTAAACGCATATGATAACATTGAAAGGTTAACATTGGATGCTGTAAGCATTGTGGCAGAAATTGGTCATAAAGTCTGGACACAGGTATTATACTTGCATGACATGGGTCTACAATGGCAGGGGACTGGTTGATGCAGTTGGGCTGGTTCGTGGGGTCTACTTTCCCTTTTCTCTTGGGCCCATCCATGTTTCCATTGCCCTTTGTCACACTGCTGTTCTGAGCCCTCAGCTTGGTCCAGGTGAGGCTCTCAGAATTGTTCTCCACCAACATAATTGACCTGGATATCTGTGACATTTTAATGAAGTCAGAGTTTCTCCAGCAATTTTTCTTCTTAACATTGTTCCAGTTTCTGGCAAAGATGCAGATGTTTACTAGTGGTGTTTTGAGTCCAGTGTTAATGCTGAGCACTCACTGTCAAATAGAACTTGATGGTAAAAGAAAATTACTACTAAAGAAAAGCATATTTTCTTTTTTTTCTTGTTTTTAAATTGGAGTATAGTTGCTTTACAACGTGTTAGTTTCTGCTGTGCAGCAAAGTGAATCAGCCACATGTATACATATATCCCCTCTTCCTTGGATTTCCTTCCCATTTAGGTCACCACAGGCACTGAGTAGAGTTCCCTGTGCTATACATTCAGTTCTCATTAGTTATCTGTTTTATACATAGTAATGGATATATGTCAATCCCAGTCTCCCAATTCATCCCACCCCCAACTTCCCCCCTTGGTGTCCATATGTTTGTTCTCTACGTCTGTGTCTCTACTTCCACTTTGCAAATAAGTTCATCTATACCATTTTTTTAGATTCTACATATATACGTTAATATACGATATTTGCTTTTCTCTTTCTGACTTACTTCGTTCTGTATGACAGTATCTAGGTCCATCCACGTCTCTGCAAAGGGCACAACTTCATTCCTTTTTATGGCTGAGTAATATTCTATTGTATATATACACCACATCTTCTTTATCCATTCCTCTGTTGATGGACATTTAGGTTGCTTCCATGTCCTGGCTCTTGTAAATAGTGCTGCAATGAACACTGGGGTGCATGTATCTTTTTGAATTATGCTTTTCTCTGGATATATAACCAGGAGTGGGACTGCTGGATCATATGGTAGTTCTACTTTTAGTTTTTTAAGGAACCTCCACACTGTTCTCCATAGTGGCCATATCAATTTTCATTCCCACCAAGTGCAGGAGGGTTCCCTTTTCTCCACACCCTTTCCAACACTAATTTTTTTTTTTTTGTGGTACGTGGGCCTCTCACTGTTATGGCCTCTCCCGTTGCGGAGTACGGCAGGCGGACTCTCAACCACTGCGCCACCAGGGAAGCCCTGAGATTTTTTTTTTTTTTTCTTGAAATTGCCCAAAATAAAACAGGCCTTGTTAGTAGGGGCTTGATATGTTCTTTCTTGCAAGAGTGGTAGAGGGCATGAATTCCAGAAGTTGCACTTTTAGCCTTTAATTCCTTGCCCCTCTTTTTTCTCCTAGTTCTGTCTCTCTTCCCATTAACTGTGCCCACCCAGCCACGAGCAACTAAAACCCGACCACAGTGGATAAAAGGAGTGCAAACAGTGCTTGGTTTAAAATGCCTTAGCTCTATGCATAATGCTTAAATATGCAAAGGTATTTTGTACAAGTGTCTCCACAGGGAAATACTGTGAACTTACAGTTCTGTCAAAAGCATGCTAATAAAAAAGTGTAGTATACTCTTCAAATATTTAATAATTGTACTATTGCATTTTTCTGAATACCAGCACATAGAAATTCTGATATCCACAGAGGTAGGCCTTATCTTAAGATTCTTGCTCCTTGCCTAGGACCCTTGGCCATTAATTTCTGATTTATGATACTAATAAAAATTTCCTAATGCCCAGTAAATGCTTATAAGAAGAGGATTTTCACACATACCCTCAGCTCATGTCGCCACTTAAAAGATCAGGAGGTCCTATTACTGTTCATCGTTGGGTATTTTTAGCTGCTTAGAACCAAGGAATGGTGATAAAGTTACACCTCTAAATCTACCAGGGATGGATAACTTTTATTTAACTATATGACATTTGGATGTAATGCCTGTTTCCTTGTTTTTTACACTTGCAAGTCCTTGGCAATATTACCAAAACCTTCAGAGGTAGAAAGAACTGACAACAGGAACTCAAGGCATATCGTACTTAAATAGATTCCTGGAAAATACAAGCATGTGATAATATTCAGTGTGATGTTGGCATTTGATAAATCAGATGGAATGAACCTAATTATGTAAAACAGTTATTTTGAATCTATCACTCATCTGAACGCTCTCTAAATCAGAACTTATTTAATTACTAGCAAAGGGAAAGGTAAGGAACTTGCCCACGTGATTCCCTTCCTTTCCTCAAAACATTCAGTGTTTGTTATCCAGACTGAATTCATAGAAGTCTTAGCACTGCCCCAGTCCTTCAGAATTGCTCTATTCTGTTGATTTAAATGTAAAGCAGCCTGTCTAAAATAAAACATTTATCTGTTGGCAATTTCAAAACTTTTGCATGGCTTTGTCCTCAAATATACTAGACAAGAATATCAAAATCTTTGGGGTTAGATCATTCTGAGGAAGCAGCCCAATCACTGAGCACTGAAGATGTTGGCTTTAAGGTGGCCACCGGTGAAGGCCGGGAAGCAGCAGGACAGAGGGAGAAGTGTCCACAAACACTACCAAAATCAAGGAATTCCAACTGCCTCTAACTTTAAGCTGGAATGGAGGGGCTCCCAGTTGGGACGATTCAAAGGCAGTTGACAGTTAAATCCCAGCGTGCCATGCGGGTTATTAGCTTTGGAGAGTTAGCTGAAGGGTCTTTGCTAAAATCATCTGTAGCCTTGTTTGGGTTTTGTGTGTGTCCTGTACTCACCATTGTTAGAAAACCGTCTCTCCTTGATGCCCCTTCACTGTCCCTAGATGTCCTCCACTCCATCTGTCCCCGTGGAGATGATTCTCCTGGCATGTGTACTCCTGTGACTCTGGCTTTCCCCCGGACGAAATATTCGCTCTCAGTCAACGTCTTCTTTTTCGTGTGTCAACTCAAGCTCTTAACCCTCATGAGAGTGTTTCCTCTTGCGCAGAGATTCCCTGTCCCACAGCACTGCTTCAAAGCCACACCTCTTCCTATACAGTGCAAGAAAGAAAAGAAAAAAAAAAGACACAAATAAGGATTTACGAACGCTACAGGCAAATGCTGTGTAGCCTTGATTTATAAATTAAACCAGTTTGTGGCAACCATTTGAACTGTTTCAGAGGAAGGTAGACTAAATGCAGATCCTTCCATTTGGAGGATAAGAGTAAAGGAAAACGTAACTTGAAAACCTTTTTCTTTAAAATCTGCTTCTCTCAGGGATTTAGACTACTGTAAGTCCGAACAGTTTGGTTCATTCATTGTCCAGGGAAAAACTGCTGATGAGAGAACAAATTCTGGTCCATTTTTCAGGAACAACATCAAGATGACTTGCCACCACGGCTTATGCATTTGCTCATCGTTTTAAATAAGAATTCCTGTTGTAAAATTTCAGGTGCAAGGACTAAGGGATAATAAGAGCTTTTTAGGTTTGACTTCAGTCTGCCTGATCTCTTTAGTGAGGAAACCTGCTACATTCGTTAGGCTGGGAAAAATGCTGTTTCACTGGCCCTGTTCAATGGGCATTTATCTCAGAATCATTATCATCCTTATACAGAGATCAGGTTTGGGCGCAAAGCAAGGCAGCTGGGTGATGCAGATAAGCTGATTAGCTTGACCTCTTGCTGCCATTCATTTGATTTTCTGCAGATTTCAACATTCCTGTCCCCCCCAAATTCAAATATGTCTTTGTTAAAACAAGTTCTGTTTGAATGTCGGTCGGGTCTTAACTGTCTCCTTGTCCATTCCTTTCAGCTGGGTCCCGGGCCTCATACAGCAGCCAGCACGGCCACCTGGGTCCGGAGCTGCGGGCCCTGCAGTCCCCAGAGCACCACATAGACCCCATCTATGAAGACCGCGTCTATCAGAAGCCCCCCATGAGGAGTCTCAGCCAGAGCCAGGGGGACCCTCTGCCGCCAGCACACACAGGCACGTACCGCACGAGCACAGGTGTGTATTCAGGACCCCGATGGGGGACCTGTCCACAGAGGGCGGGCCTGTCCACAGAGGGGTGGGCCTGTCCACAGTGGAGTGGCCTGTCCACAGAGGGGTGGGCCTGCTTGGAAGCTTAAAGAACACTCCCTTGTGAAAGGTGTGTGTGTGTGTGTGTGTGTGTGTGTGTGTGTGTGCGTGTGCGTGTGCGTATGTCCTGTTTCCTCAGAAGCATTATGATATGACCTGCTTCTCTCGTTAATGTTTGTGATGAGGATAGAAACCAAATATGACTCCACTTTATCTCCCTGAGTAGATTATAAATGAAATAAGTACAGGGGGGTTGTCAGCTCATTTTGTCACACAGGCAAATCGAAGGAAGCAGTAACAGTTTTTTGTACATCATTATTAGCGTATTTAATGAATATAACTACTTTAGGAAAGCACAGTCACTGTACAGGACATATAAAGGCATATGCCTCATGCTGGTGAGTGTTTTGTTAATGACACAGTCTACCTGTTTGCCAAGCTTGGTGGGAAGGAAGCATATTTACTAAAAAATGTAGCATATTTTGTAAAGCCAACTGAGAATTTATTTCATACACACTATTAGGCTGAATCATATGAAATTATTTCTGAAAAGTCGGTTATTGGCAATTGCATATGGTTCATTCAACTCTATAGCTTTCCTGGATTAAATATATATTTTAACTTGACACAACCTTAGGCCACGTGAAGGACAGTGTTTTCCAGAACATGAAGCCATTTGCAAAATAACTGGTCAAATGTCATGATTAAATGTGCTAGAGCACACTTATCCTAACTGTAAAATCAATATCTTTAAGAAGATACGGAGAATTGCACTTGCTCTAAAGCCTCCCATGGCTAAGTTAGCTTAGAAAATATTATGCTGCCGGTTTGCAGACAGTAGAGCTGTCTCCTTCATTGCTAATGATACACATTATCATCCCGGGCAGGGGCCGAGGTATGGGGATGCGGAAGCTCTGGTCCAGGCCTTGGCACCAGGCACTTCATCTTCAGACTGTTGTAACTTCCGGTTCCCAAGAAGTAGATCATAGCAATTTTGTTAAACTTCATTACGATACTAACTTATATGTTTTGAAATCCAGGCAAGCTACGTTGCTTTTCTAGCTGATTATTGATATTTACATTTCAGTATTTCACTGCATCATAGGGAGAAAAGCACAAAATACTCCTTGATTTCACTCTTGACATTGTAAATGCCATCCAGTGTTAATAGTACATATCTTAGTTTAGGTAGAAAGAATACCCATTTATTCTTCTGTCAGAGTTTCTCTCACCTTCAGCCTGCTAAATCTACTCCAGTCTGAGGCTGGGCTATTTTAACATTTAGCTTGTTGCATATTATTAACTAGGGTAATTTTATTTCCACCCACTACTTATAAAAGACAAAGATAACAATCTCGGTGACATTCAATATCTAATTTGAAGAAAAACTGACAACAAAAGGGATTATGTTGATTCTCTGTTCCATATTCATAGGCTTTTAGAATTAGCTCTCGTTGATAAACTTCTGGAGGTTTAATGAAAAATTAGCTACAATAGGAAAAAAATATTTCATTCATCGATCTCAAATTAAGGGCCAGGACTGATGTTCATACTTAACAACAACAACAGAAAACAATGAAAACAACAAAAGTAGTGTTTTCTCTAAGCCAGGGGTTGGCAAACGATGGCTCACAGTCTAAATCCAGCTCGTCACCTGTGGTAGTAGTGCTTGCGCGTTAAAAACGATTATCACATTTTTAAATGGTTTGCAGTCAAAAGATGGATAATATTTGGGGATATGTAAAAGTCATATGAAATCCAAATTTCGGAGTCCATAAACATTTATTGGAATACAGCCCCACCCTTTTGTTTCCAGATCATCTGTAGTTGTTGTCACCCTGCGGCAGCCCAGTTGAATAGTGACAGAGACCATATGGTTGGTTAAGCTGAGAATACTTACTTACTGGCGCTTTGCAGAAGTTGGCTGACCCCCGTTCTAAGCCATCAGTGGAGAACCAGGCTGAATGAATAAATGAGTGTTTCTCTCCTATCTCTCCTCTGAAAGAAGGCAGGAGTGTCCTCTGAGTGCTTCAGAGGGTACATTCTGTTTGCCCAGCCCTTTCCCAGTAATAGTAACCTCTGTCCTGGCCAAGATCTGTTGAGGTGTGCCATCCGGATGCCCAAGACACCCTCCCTGCCCACATCTTTGAACTTGAGGCACTTTTGAGGAAATATGCTGATTTCCACAACACTATGGAAATTTACAGAAGTGCATGAGTGGTCTCTTGGGGACAGGTGGGGAGAAGCCACCTCTCCAGCTCCTAAGCATAAAGCCACAAGCCCTCTCTCCCTCACCCCTGCTCAGATTACTCCCTATTTCTATCCTGAATTCATTTCAAGTCCTTACCCTTTCCCAGCTAACCCTGCACCTCCAGGAACTGTCTCTATCAGAACCCACATGTTTGAGAAAATGCTTTTAATACGGGTATATATCTCTCACTTATAAATTACATACCTATTATACAATAGTATTAAATTATATCTAGTAAAGGCAAGATTAAACTTCAGTAAAGAAACATTTTAAGATTGCTTTCCCAGGAATTCCCTGGCGGTCCAGTGGTTAGGACACCGTGCTCTCACTGTCGGGGGCCCCGGTTCGATCCCTGATCGGTGAACTAAGATCCCACAAGCCGTGCAGTGCAACCAAAAAAATAAAAAATAAAGTTAAAAAAAAAAAGATTGCTTTTCCATATCCAGAGGGTTATTTTTCACATCCTCTGTGCTATACACATCCCACACTTAGTGCCACCACTGGTACAGACCTTTAAGAAGCTTCCAGAGTCACAGAAAATACCCTAATTCCTTGGGAGAAGAGGACAGGTTCTTACAAGACCTGTTAGACCTGAACTGTTCCGGGGTCACTGGCTTTTGGCTCAGGTCGGTGGCCAAGGTGGCTCTTCAGCCTTACCTCTCTGCTGTGAAGTAAGGCCACTGGCCGGAGGTCCTTCAGTTCCATCTGTAGAGCATTTCCGGAGGATACTTCCAGGAGAGTGGGGCAGGGGAATTGAAGGCCACTTGCTGCTCTTGAGGGAATCCCCACTTGGGAGTGAAGTCAAGTGTATTGGCCTTAACAATTTGGGAATTACTAGGTGGTGCCATAGCATCAAGCAGGTGAGACAGGATGACAAAGCATATAGCATGTCTGCCACTTTCAGCCATGGTTCTCAATGCTTTGAATGTATTTACTAATCCTCAGAACTGCCCTATGAAGGAGGTGCTATTATGATGCTCAGTTTAGGAATCAGAATACTGAGGCACAGAGATGTTGAGTAATCTGCCCAAGGTCACACGGTTGGTATGGAGCCAGTCTTTGAACCTTCACACCCAGGCAGTTTTGCCCTGGGACCTGGGCTCTTAACAGTCATCTTGGTTGACCTTGCATTTGTAAAAATCATCATTCAAAAACAAAATAAAGGGCTTCCCTGGTGGCACAGTGGTTGAGAGTCTGCCTGCCAATGCAGGGGACATGGGTTCATGCCCTGGTCCGGGAGGATCCCACATGCCGCGGAGCGGCTGGGCCCGTGAGCCATGGCCGCTGGGCCTGCGTGTCCGGAGCCTGTGCTCCGCAACAGGAGAGGCCGCAACAGTGAGAGGCCCATGTACTGCAAAAATAAATAAATAAATAAATATAAATAAAAATAAATATACACCCATTTTCATCTAGAGAGCGTCAGGATTTCCTGTGTCCTGCGTTAATCAGATAATATCTGTTGAAAACAAACCACGTGCTTGATGGGCTTCAGGTCCAAAGAAGCTTAAACCAACTCTTTGTCCTCACGCATGCTCATTTTAGTTTCAGAGAAGGACCTAAAATAGGAAAAAATAACGTAACGGAAGGTAATATATTAAAGGCTAAATGAATATTCCAGACAAAAATGAAGACAGAGTATTAAGAAAAGCATGAAAAAAATAGAACATATTCAAAATTAAGCAAGCAGGATCATTACAAAAGAGAAAAGGACATCCCTCAACTGGTGACACAGGACTCAGAGGCTCAAAAGTAACTCCTTTGAAAGGTCAACCATTCAAATTAGTTTCTTGGATGCCTGACTCACTTGCTTAGATTTGGCACAAATTCAAGTAAACTGAAATAATTTTACTTACTAATATGTATTTTCCTCTCACAGGAAAAACTGGAAAAAAAACTCCCGTCCTCTTTATACAATTGCAAAATTAAAATGACCTTAACTAAAAAAAAAAAAAAAAAAAAAAAAAAACACACACAAAACAACACATACTGTTGTTTCTTTCCTAGATAACATGTAACTCAAGATTGCACTATACACGATTCCTGACGCCCTCCCAGGTCATCCTTTAGTTTCTCAGCAGGGAGTGGGGCTGTGGAAGGGTACCCACTCTTGGTCCCTCAGTGCTTCAGCTCTGCTTCCACCTGGCTCAGGGTCCCGGGCATTATCTCCCGTGGCCACTCTTTTCTCCCATCCCTGCTCAGGCCCATGCTGACCCCATCCCTGGGCCTCCCTTTCCAAATGCCACTAAGGCCATCCTGAGTTATTGATTGTGCTAGAGCTGAGAGATACGCTGAGATGACTATACCAAGAAGAGCAGGAAACAGCTGTAGTCCTTGAAGATGAGACAGATTGAAGCTCCCTAAACTTGCCCTCCAAAGGCGATTTCTCAGTTAGCTTCTCCCCCTATACCCAACCTACTGCCATCTTTTTTCCATCCCTCTGTCTTGGCCACCACAGTTACCCTCTCACCCCTGTTACTTTATTATGAAGACTGACTTAGATCCCGATTCAGACAAGAAGCACAGTCTACCTTTGGGTGTTCAAAAAGGTCCTCGAGCCTTTCCCCAAACCAAAAAGCTTCCTAACCATAATGTCAGAGCCTTACATACGTGCATTTGTATACATTTGTGTGCATGTTAGAGAATCTGGGTTGACAAATCCCACTTCTCCCCTGTCCCA